GAGGGAGAGCGGTTGGGGTATGGGGTGTGGGGGGGGTCGCGGCCTTTGGTGTGTGGAGGTGCGCTGGTCCCTTCGTGTGTCCCTGCCTGCGCCGTTTGTTCCGTGCTTTGCTTTACACGGGGCGTGCCGCAGCCTGCCTGCCTGCGCCCCGCCTCCTTGCCGCGCGCCGCCTCCAGCCCCCTCCCCAGCCCCTGCCTGCTTCCTCCACCCCACGCCCTCACACACACGCACACACACACACACACACACACTCGCCCCGCCCCCGCAGCCGCCATCGTGCTGACCAACAAGCGCAGCGAGCGGCGGCGCAGCAAGTACGAGCTGCAGCATGTGGTGAGGGTGCACATGGGCGCCGACGACGCCGCGTACAGGCAAGTGCCTTTCTTGCATTTTTTGTAGTGCAGTGTTTCAGGGTGAGCGGCATGGGCAGGCAGCACTCCCCGCCAGGGCGCCCGGCCGCCCCAAACTACTCGCCTCGGCCCGAGACACACACACACTCTCGCACACCATAGCCCCGGCCCTCGCCGGTTTGCGCTCCTGGCACCCTCCTGCCCCAACCCTAAACCCGCCCGTGACCCTCCACCACCCTGCCCCTTAACCCTGCCTCCCGTAACCCCATCCCTGCCACCCCCAACCCACCACCCCCTGCCACCCCCCAGGTGCGTGTTCCAGCGCCCCGACCACGCCAACTGCATCGGGGTGGAGCTGTCCAAGGACCTGGGTGAGGGGGGGGGGGGGGTCTTGTGGGGTGTGTGTGTGAAAATGTGTGTGTGCCTGTGTGTGTGTTGTGTGTGTGGGGGGGGCCGGGGCCCTGCCTGCCTGCCTGTATACAGCTAGGCAGCTCGGCCCTCTGCCGTACCGCTGCATGTCGCTGCGTGCCGCTGCCTGCCGCCAACTTGCTGTCATCCCCGACTCGTAATCGGCCCATCCTTTCCTCCCTGTTCTTTCCACCCCGCAGTGTCTGTGGCGGGGCGGGCCATGGAAATCAACATGACGCGGCTGGGGCCACTGGTGCTGCCCTGGCCAGGTGGGTTGGGGGGGTTGCTGCATGCCTGCTGCCTGAAAGCTCACCTCGCGGGATGCCTGCTGGCCTGCTCTGTCCGCCTGCTGCCGGCTTGTTTTGTCGAGCCGTGCTGAGCGCTGCAAGGCCCCGCTGAACCTGTACCGCATGCACCGCACCCTGTGCCGCAGAGAAGCTCATGTTTGCCGCCAACTGGGTGGCCCGCCATGTGCTGAGGTGGGGAGGGGCGGCGTTGGGTGGGGCGGTGATGCGGCTGCCCGTGCTGCTGCCCCGCTGCCGCTGCGGCTGCCCTCCAGCTTGAATGCCTCTGTGCCAGCTTGCCAGGCACACCACCCCCAGCTGCCCAGGTGCCGGGGTACCCGATGGTACCGCAACATGTGACCACTCATGGTACCGCCCATTTCACCATGGTACCGCAGGCTGCGCGTCCCCAAGTACATCCCCGACTTCCGGGAGGCCTTTGACCACTTCTGCCTGCACGCGGGTGGGTGGGTGGGGTGGGTGGGTACTGCAGCCTCGTGTGTTACCTTGCTTGGCTGTTGACTCCTGCTGCCGTGCGTGTCCCCCCCCCCC